GGAGGGAGAGCGGGGGGGAGCGATGCCCGGCCGGAGCTGCCCTTGCTGTGAAGCAGCGGGCAAAGCCCCTTGCGGACTGGGGTGCCCCTTTCTTTCTCCCTGTTGTGCGTGGTGGTCAGCTGCCGGGGATCTGGGGTGAGGGGCTGTGGACAAGCAGGGTTGATGGGGGGAAGGAGGGATGGCCGCCGTCTGTGCAGGCAGCAGCTGTGGGAGTGGGTGCTGCACGGGGTGCTGTGGCAGAGGCACAGGCTGTGGAGCTGGTGCCATCTGCCCCCACTGTCCCTGAGCTCTGGAAATTATGTGGCACTGCTGTCCCTTGCTGCTGACATGTGCCCCCTGTGACTGAGGCTTGTCCTAGCGCTGCTGAAAGAGCCCACTGGCGCGTGCCACGTAACAGCGTTAATGTGCTGTGACTGATGGTGGCTTTGCACTGGTGAAGGACACTGCTGCGGGGCTTGCGGTGCTGCTGCTGTCACGTGTGATGCCCTGGCATTTGAGGCTGGCTGTACTCTGGGGCAGAATCGGGGGGGCTGAGATCTGGGTCCTTTTCCCCAGGAGACCAAGCGATGCGTGACTCCTGAGGAAGGGAGGGGAAGAGTTGTTCTGGGGACGCCCTGTCTCGCCAGCTGCATGCTGTGCCAGCCTGCCTGTGTCAGTGGTGATGAAAACGAGGGCTCTTTGTGCTGGTTTCTAGAATTTCGCCGGGGCTTGGGTTGGAGTGGGGCTTGCCACGCACCAGGGTGCACACCCTGGGGGAATTTAGAGGCAAGGACCTGTCTCTCTCAAACGGGAGTCAAGGACCTGGTGTGTGTGTCCTGGCTGAGCTTCGACTGCAGCTGCTTCTGTTGCAGGGAGAGCACTTCCTTGGTGGAACTGGGGGCTGAACAGGTGAGACAGGGAACACCTCTGAGCCCTAGTGTTAGCTTGTTGTTCTTCTGTCCTCCCAAGCATCACAGTGGTCACCTGGAACGTGGGCACAGCCATGCCCCCAAATGATGTGACATCCCTGCTGCACCTCAACACGGGCGAGACAAATGATGCGGACATGATCGCCATTGGGTAAGAGGATGAGGTGCAGGGCCCCTTCCCCTGTCCTGCCACTTCCCCTTTCAAGGGATCTCCGTGGGCCTGTGGGGCGGGGAATGGAAGAGCTGCAGCCCCAGCCTCATCGGGTCATGGTGAACAGGGAGGGGTGTGCATTGCAAGTGGTAAAATATCAGAAAAAGTGGTGGAGTATCCGCTCCTAGTAAAATGGGACTGCTAAGAGGAACTGAAACCCTTGAATCCTGAGTGGCCTTGAACCCTTAAAGAGCCTGTAGCTGGCTATGCCGTGCAGAGCTGGGCCTCGGCAAGCGCTGCTCTTGCCATGAGCCCTGGCAGTCCTGGGATCAGGTCTGTAGAGGCATTTAACTCACCTGATGGAGTCCTCTGGGAGCATTTTCCTCATCTCAGCTTTTACCCATGATATGCAGGCCTCAAGGGCACAAATCTGCTGTTCTCTCGCAGCTGGATTGGCTCTGTGCCTGTGGCAACACTTAACTGCTGGCAAGGCAGCGCCGCGTTGGTGCGGTAAGGCTTTATTGGTGTGGCTGGCAAGAAAAGCTCTGCCAGAGTCTAAGGGAAAACTGGTCCATCGAGGTTTGCTGTGGTGTGTGTGGATTCCTGGGAAGACCAGGGACGTGCTGCCTTTGCACAGGGAGCGAGAAGCAGCCTCTGCCTGTGGGTGTGAGGTTGGAAGAGCTGGATCTGCATCCAGGAGGCTCCTAGGGACTCCCCCAGTGCTCCTCACCTCAGAGAAGGAGAGGTGTAAGGCTGAGGCTGCTGGAGCCACAATGCTGTGTTGGAGCCAGTGTCCTGGTCCCCTTGGGCTTGCGGACCAGCTGGATGGGGCAGTGTGGGGGTGGGGAGATAGACCCAAGCCTGGATGGGTGGGGCAGGGGGTGTAGCTGACAGCAAGGGACTTGCTGGGGCAGGGTGTCCTGCTGCTTCCCACCTCCAGGGTGTCTGCCTGGCTGTGTCCTTCCTCTGACCTGTGTCTTTGTGCCCTGAGCACTTGCTATTTTGGGGAAAGACATTTCCTGATTCTGCCGTTCTCTGTGGACGTTCTCCTTCCCTGTCTTCACTAATTGCTGAGCCAGGAGGGGCAGTCTTAACCTTCTGTTTGCTGCTGCTCTGAGCTTGGTGGCTAGGATGCATCTGGACACCCTGTGCTGAAATACTGGTGAGACTTGGCTTCTCTGTAGAGACCAATGCAGCTGAAATGTCCTGTAAGCCCCTCTTGCACCTAGAGATAGGCTTTAGACTGCTGCTCACCCCTGTGCAGCTGAACTGCTCCTGTTTTAAAAAGGGCGAAGGCCTTGTGCATTCAGGGCCGCTTGTGTCTTCTGCTAGCACGTGGCCCAGCATTGCTGGAGCGAGGGTCTGGCTGGTTTGGGCTCTAAACCCAGGGTCCTCCCTTGAACTGCGCTTCCTGCTCTGCCCTGCCCTGGCCTGGCTGCCCAGTGCTGTGCTTTAGCACCACTCGCAAGGAGCTCTCACTAGCTGGGACACAGACACCTACCTGGTGTGGCTGAGGGACCTGCCCCTTTCCTCCCAGGCTGCAAGAGGTGAACTCCAAGATAAACAAGCGCCTGAAGGATGCCCTCTTCACAGATCAGTGGAGCGAGCTCTTCATGGATGTGCTGAGCCCCTTCCACTTCGTCCTGGTAAGGAGGTCCCAAAGGGGCTGGGCAGCTGGTGTTCCCTCTCTGCCTGCCAGGCAGGTGGGCTGTGGGGAGAGAGAGTTGGATTGCAGGGACGGAGGGAGGAGGTGCAGTGGGAGAGCCCGACTGGAGGGACAGACTGCTGGAAGGACAGCCTGCAACCATCCAAGCAGCGTGTGGGGCCTGACCTGAGGGCTAACAGTGCATCTTGCCAGTGTGCTGTCTGGCTTGTGCCACCCTGCTCCCTTTCCTGTGCCGTAGGCTTCCCCTGTAGTGCTTTGGGGTACTTCTTGTTGCCTTCTGCATTGCACCAGGGTGAGGAGGCGAATGTGGGAACAAGCCTGTGCTTCTGGCAGCAGCCTGCGGGTCCCAGGGCAGGTTCAGCTCCCCATGGCACTTGCCCCAGAGCGTACCTGAGCTTTAGGATTGCTGGGCTTATCTCAGCTGTCAGTATTCAAGAGGGTGTGCCTAGATCTCTGAATTAAATGTGCTGTTAGCCATCTGCAACGTGGGGGGCATGCAGAGGATGGAGATGCTGTCCCTATGGCCTGGAGGTGGGGGAAGCTGTCCCTGCCCCTATGGGCTCTGCTTCAGCCCCTGCTCCCATTCCAGGTCAGCACAGTGCGGATGCAAGGTGTGATCCTACTGGTATTTGCCAAGTACTACCACCTCCCCTTCCTGCAGGACATCCAGACAGACTGTACGAGGACGGGGCTGGGAGGCTACTGGGTGAGTGTGGTCCCAGGGGAGGTGGTGAGGGGCTGGCTTCCCGAGGAGTCATGGGATCCTCTTGGTGCAGGGCAACAAGGGTGGGGTGAGTGTTCGTCTCTCCATCTTCGGCCACATGGTCTGCTTCCTGAACTGCCACCTGCCAGCGCACTTGGAGAAGGCGGAGCAGCGCAAGGAGGACTTTGCCACCATACTGCACATGCAGCAGTTTGAGGGGCATGCGGCCAGCGGCATCCTGGACCATGAGTGCGTACCCCACCACTTTGCTCCGCAATCTGGGCCAGGGATCTAGTGCCAGTCCCCATCCTTGACCACCTCCAGACAGGGTCTGGGATCTGTCCCCTGAATCCCAGCACAGCTTGGAGATGGAGTCTTGCCTGCAGAGCTGCAAAATTGTCCCATGGCCCAGTGAGGACCCAGCATGGTGGGGTAGGTGTTAAGAGCGGTCCTTGGTCTCCCCTGGGATCAAGGTGTTGGTCCAGGCCTGGTGCTGCTCCCGCCATACTGGTGCTGTTGGGATTCGGGGCTGGTGAGGCGGAGGGCCCGGCCCTGCCCTGGCTGTGCAGTCCCAGTCTGGTAGGTGCCTCATGGTGGAAATCGCCACCCTCAATTTCTGCCGGGGAAGTCAAGCCTGTTTGGTTAATGGTGCTTGGTCCTACCTGAGGAATCCTGGCAGGGCTGGCAGCTGGCCAAGGTGTTAGCCGAGTGCCGACCTGCGCTGGTGCTCCTGAGAGCGCCTGTGCTGCAGGCCGAGGCTGCCCAGAGGCTGAGGATGTTCTCCACTTGCTGCGCTGCCTGGCTCCGGCCGCCTTGGCCCTTCCAGCCCCTTGCCCTCCTTCCCACCCACAGCCTCGTGTTCTGGTTTGGGGACCTCAACTTCCGCATCGAGAGCCTCGACATCCGCTTTGTGAAGTATGCCATCGACAGCAACATCCTCAGCCAGCTCTGGGAGAAGGACCAGGTGAGAGCCTTGGGCGATACTGTCGAGCCTCTGCTGGGCCCCGAGTGGCATTTGGCTCTTGCAAAACTGCCTGTGCAGCTGTGGGACAGGGCACGTCCCCTCGCTGCCCATGGGGCACAAAGGGCCCTGGCGCTGTGGGGAAGGGGCGGCACAGTACCAGGATGGTTTTCGTGGGAGCTGGGCACACACTTCCTTTACTGGTGTGCTAGGAAGAGCTGGGGGAATTGGGTCTATGAACTTGCTGCTCGTATGGCATGGACAAACCCCGAGAGCTGTGTGGGGCTGCCAGCAATGGGGCAGGGATGACTGCGGTCGAGTTCAGGATCCTGCGTGGAGGAAGCAGGGCGATAAGCAGGATCAAAACCTTGGACCTCAGGAGGGCTGACTTTGTCCTCTTCAAGGAGCTACTGGGAGGAATCCCGTGGGCCAGGGCTCTCGAAGGCAGGGGGGTCCATGAGTGCTGGTCGCTCTTTAAACAACACTTCTTCCATGCACAGGAGCAATGCATCCCCCTGAGAAAGAAATCTAGCAAAGGAGGCAGGAGACCTGCATGGTTAAAGAAGGAGCTTCTAGCAGAGATCAGGCAGAAGAGAAAGGTCCATGGAATGTGGAAAGAGGGACAGGCCACTTGGGAAGAGTACAGAAACGTGGTGAGAGCATGCAGGGATGCGACGAGGAAGGCCAAGGCCCACCTGGAATTGAAGCTGGCAAGGGATGTCAAAAACAACAAGAAGGGCTTCTTCAACTACATCAGCAGCAAAAGGAAGACTAGGGACAATGTGTGGCCACTGCTGAATGAGGCGGGTGTCCTGGTGACGGAGGATGCGGAGAAGGCAGAGCTAATGAATGCCTTCTTTGCTTCAGTCTTCAGTGCTAAGACTGGCCCTCAGGAATCCCAGGCCCCGGAGGTAAGAGAAGAAGCCTACAAAGAGCACGACTTTCCCTTGGTCGAGGAGGACTGTGTGAGGGATCGCTTAAGCGATCTGGATGTCCACAAATCCATGGGCCCCGATGGAATGCACCCACGAGTGCTGAGGGAGCTGGCGGATGTCATTGCTGAGCCACTCTCCATCATCTTTGAGAGGTCCTGGAGGACAGGAGAGGTGCCCGAGGACTGGAGAAAGGCCAATGTCACTCCAATCTTCAAAAAGGGCAAGAAGGAGGACCCAGGGAACTACAGGCCACTAAGCCTCACCTCCGTCCCGGGAAAGGTGATGGAGCAGCTTATCCTGGAGGCCATCATCAAGCAAGTGGAAGAAAAGAAGGTTATCAGGAGTAGTCAGCATGGATTCACCAAGGGGAAATCATGCCTGACCAATCTGATAGCTTTCTACGATGACATGACTGGCTGGGTAGACGAAGGGAGAGCTGTGGATGTTATCTACCTTGACTTCAGCAAGGCTTTCGACACAGTCTCCCATGATATCCTCCTAGGGAAGCTGAGGAAGTGTGGGCTGGATGAGTGGTCGGTGAAGTGGATAGAGAACTGGCTGAATGGCAGAACTCAGAGGGTTGTCATCAGCGGCGCTGAGTCTAGTTGGAGGCTGGTGACAAGTGGTGTCCCTCAGGGGTCAGTACTGGGCCCAGTCTTGTTTAACTTCTTCATCAACGACCTGGATGAAGAGTTAGAATGTACCCTCAGCAAGTTTGCTGACGACACCAAACTGGGAGGTGTGGTAGATACACCAGAAGGCTGTGCTGCCATTCAGCGTGACCTGGATAGGCTGGAAAGCTGGGCAGAGAGGAACCTGATGAGGTTCAACAAGGGCAAGTGCAGGGTCCTGCACCTGGGGAGGAACAACCTCATGCACCAGTACAGGCTTGGGGTGGACCTGCTGGAGAGCAGAGAGGGACCTGGGTGTCCTGGTGCCTGAAGAAGAGAAGGCTGAGAGGGGACCTTATAAATGCCTACAAATATCTGAAGGGTGGGTGTCAGGAGGATGGGGCCAAGCTCTTTTCAGTGGTGCCCAGTGACAGGACAAGGGGTAATGGGCACAAACTGAGGCACAGGAAGTTCCGTCTGAACCCGAGGAAGAACTTCTTCCCTCTGAGGGTGACAGAGCACTGGAACAGGTTGCCCAGGGAGGCTGTGGAGTCTCCTTCTCTGGAGATATTCAAGACCCGCCTGGACAAGGTCCTGTGCAGCTTGCTCTGGGTGCACCTGCT